AATAACATACAAGGGGAGAACAGATTAAAAAGTACCATTACTACATTCATTTGATACCCATTGCACAAAAAAGTGACCATCCAAACGATGTCCCTAGAAAGGTTGCGGTAACTGTTACGATGGTTAACGGTTCAAAGTAATTCATGGGAAAATGAAGCTTCCAAAGAATGTCCTCCGTGACTGGCCACATCTCCGAAGTTTTCTTTTCAAGGCTTTTCTTAAACCAATAGTTGTGAGCTTTTCCTTCTGAGGCTTCTGCTCCATCAAAATGCTTTCACTCATAACAAAAAAGTTGGATAAGCGGTTGGTTTATAACGTTTGAGCCCAGTCATGAGCAAAAAGTCAAGAAAACCTGACAACCCTCGGTTATAAGACGATAACAGTTATTACTAACGAAATTTGCATAATTTAAAAAAAAAAGCTCCATTCCAGGACCACAAATTCTTAATCGGTTTATGAGTGGCAAGACAAAACAATTCAATAATTGCCGGGTGGTAAGGTTGTAACTGCTGTTATTGTTATTATCATTGAATTTCGCATGATTCAAAAAAAAAAGGCCTGGAATGGGACATAATTAATCGTCGCAGTGGGTGTTTTCCCGCGCTTGAGAATTAAGTTGATATGGGTGGAAACCAGACTACAACGCACCAGGCTTGCCGGTGCGATCATGCGTTGTTGCACTAAATTCATGGGTCACTAACAGTAAGAATAATCCCTGCGCTGCAGCCAAACAGTTGGGCTCATATTGGCCATGCTTTGGTTTCTTCCGGCATGCAGCACAATGGGCAACGGTTGGGATGAGAATGTTGCATTGTAGAGGGCTGGATCCCACACATACGCGAGCAAAATTAACTGTAAGTATGCGACCAAGATCGAAGACTCTAGCATCGGCCGGCGCGCGGGAGCATGCCAGTAGCATCACTAATATGGGTGGCCTATACTGATCGTCTGGGCAGTCTTGATATTCTTATGATCATTGCCAGGCATGAAAGTCAGGAAGGAAGGAGGAAAACTGGGGTTTAGCTATATGAAAGTGTATTAATGGCTTAAGCAAAAAACAGTGCATTACCCTAAGCATGGCAGCTTTATAGGCAGGCATCCTGTGATTGCCAGTGTGCCTTCCCATTTCCTCATCCGATGCACTGAAATCTCCCGCACCATCATCGGTTCGATAGATTCCGTTCAGAGTGTCATTCAGGACTCTTTCTCCAACATGTCGTCGGCGTCGCCTGTTGCCAAATCTGCAGCAGAAAACA